TATAAAACTGCAGCTCCAACCTTAATGAATAAAGTGTCAAAGTGCCACCCAAACATCACTAAAGCGAGCCTCGAAGTGCAGCAAATTCAGCCCAAAAAAAAACAGTGAAACTGTGGCCTTTATAAGTTATGAAATAGACCAGAGAATTGTATCTAAACCTTCCCAAAAGCGGGCCAAACCGCAGCCCAACACTCGTCGAAACCAAACAACAAGTCCAGAAATTTTACTTAGATAAATCGTGGAAACCTCATCTTTGAAATTATGCATGAAACAAATCAATTTCCATGATTTCCATAAAACAAATTCATGCATGAATTTTCATATCTTCATAACATAAGGTAGTTAAAAGCCCTCAGATTTCATAAATAAGCCGCCCAAAAGCTTTCATATTTTGCAAAAAGAGCACCCAAATATTTCAGATTTCACAAATAAACCACCCAATGCTACACATGCTCCACATTTCATGCTTAAGAAATTAAACCTTCCAGCAACTCAACAAAAACATCAAAAAGTAGAGCAGGTATATCGAGCAGCCAAGCGAGAATACAGAGTAACCATGCGAGGGAATCAAAAGACTAGCAAGATCACGGAAGAAAGGTTACCTCTTGGCGTAAATCCAAGGCAAATGCAAGAATAGAAATATTTCTACAGCACCTCCTTCTATCGAAGTTCTTTTGAACCAACCCAAAATCTCAATGGCCAAACAAGCGGTCAAGCAAAGGTATCGAGGGGACCAGCAAGGAATGCGAAGAACTCGGTCAAAGTGTAGAACAAAACAAGCAGAAAATCCGGCAGTACCTCCTCTTTCCCCAAAAGTTTCGGCTCCGAAAATTTCACAAATTTTCTCCACAGCACTTCCAAAAGGGCTCAAGCACACGAGATGAATCAGAGCAAGAAAAATCGAACCAAGGAGATTTAGAGGAGATTTTGGCAGCACCTCCACCCTCTCTAAAATTTTTGGCCAGCCCTAAGATATCCCCGAAATGGGGTTTTTATAGCAGGAGAGGGAGGAGGAAGAACACCATCGCTTACCTGGGCGGTGAGCCGAGCCAAGAGAAGCGACAAACCTCGCGTTGGGCGGTGAGCTGAGCCAAGAGAAACAACAAGTCGCGCGGGAGAAGACGACGAGAATCGCAGAGGCATGGGAGGGGAAAGCCGGAACGCATTAGAGGGAGTAGGTGGAAGCTTTTCAGAGCACGAGGGGACCTCGAGGAAGCTTCGCGAGAAGAATCGGGCTCGGCTAGGGCACGCGACCGAGAGGAATGGGCGGGACTCACGAACGAGAGAGAGAGGCGAGGCGTGAGCCCTAGATTTCGTGACTTAGGGCTTCAAAAGGAAACAGAGAAGATTCGATCGTTTTTATTAATATATATATATATATATATATATTAAATTTCATGCAATTTATTCGTGCGACATTCCAGACGCACCGGCGCTGTCTGTTTTGTCGTCAGAGGTCGTTTTGATGAATTCATCGATTTGCGTGTCAATTTTCTCGTGTCAAAAATATAGCAATATGGGTGTCCTTTCTTGCCAAAATTAATATCTCGGACGCGTTGGAGCAGTCCATTTTGTCGTCGGAGGTCATCCGGAGAAGTTCGCATTTTCATCCATCCTCTGGGCTTAATTAAAGTCCGATTTCGTGCAATTTTATGAATTTTGTGCATTTGGTGTGTGTATGTGACGAAGTCGTGACGATGTTTTCCGAGGGCTTGAAATCCTATTGGCTAAGGCTTGGAGTCCTATTAGGAACTTTTCCTTTAAGTCATGACCAAATAGTTCATAACCGCTCGTTTGTAAGACGATAGTCTTGTGCCATAAATGTTAGACATCAAAGAAAAATAGGAATTGGTTAGAATTTCTAAAAAGGTGTGTCTCAATTCTAATTTTCTAAGATGGTCAATAGGAACTCGTAGAGCTAGATCCCTGAGCTAGATCCTAAGACCATAAGGAAAAAGAAATGACCTCAAAAATGAGGTCAACACCTCTGTGACTCAGAAACAACCTTTGAAACTGTTTTATATTCGTAACTGATTGGCTTGATCGCTTGGTATTCATACAGTCAACCTATATTCGTAACAAAGTATATGATTGTAGCTAAATAGCAGAGAATATTTATTAAAAAAGTTGCATGTGTCTATAGTTACAAACAATTATGTGAATTTTCCCAGCATTCCATAAAATAATAGGTCAATATTTTAATCATATCGTATATTATAAAAGACAGCATCATTAGTGGAAGAATTGATCAATTTTCCACCAACTAAAGCTCACTGGCACCCTTACATATGTGTCAACCCACAATTTCATTTTTTATTCATAAAGGCTATTGGAGCCAAAAATGGCATACATATCATCACAGTGATTAGTAAAAAATTGCAAAAAAAAATAGTATTGGAATAGAAAGATAATCAATTCCCATAATAACAAAGGTCTTATTCAACCCGCATTTTAAATTTGTTACTTCTGGGACTCCATGCCGAATACGAGAGTGCTACAGCAATTAGTGGATAAGAGGAGTATCACAATATTAGCCAAAACAAATTTATGTCCCTTTTCATAGGATATTGATGTCATTTGAGAGGTTATCGCAACGGTAAATCTTATAGAAACACATTCAAGCAAGAGTCATATAATTTCCAACATGTCTAACTATGAAACTTTATTGAGGAAAATTTTACGGTTTGAAAAGAGAACTTTTAAATGTTAACACACATGAGACAATTTTTCATGGCTATGTAGTTATATACAGTGTCGTACAATTTTATTGGTTTATATGATGGACATGATCTGTATTCCAAGATATCTAAAACTAAGATGTGGCATACGAATAATTAGATGCGGTAGAAGCCAAAGAAAAAAAACCCTAACAAAATAACTGGAAAGAGAAATCAAAAAGTTTTATGAAATGCAATTGCCAGCAGTATATAGGATGCACCTGTAAGATTTTTGCTTCATTAATTAAAATTTAATTTTATTCTTAACCAGCAATCTATTAATTTATTATTTTAATTGCAGAGAACAACTGAAAGGTGTCTCTCAACTTAGATCAATTACCTCACTTTAAGGAGATCAAAAAATAATGGGGCTTAATTGTATTTTATTCTTAGATCTTTAAAGGCTATTGCTGTCGTTTAGCCGATTAATATTAACATTGGTCGCAATTGTATAGCCTGTTCTCATTTTGCCACCATCTATCCTTACTAAATTCAGCTCCAGTTAATTTGCCTTAAATTTTAAAGTGACCAGCAAAATCGAATTTCGGGATTTAACTAAATTTAATCTCAGTCAGGTCAAATAATACTAAGGATTTAACTATCTTAAATTTAATGAATCCAAATATTTAAGGGGTGTTTCCATACATAGCACAGAATTCTTATGAATTTACATATATCACAACTAAACTTTCATCTGTTTGAGTTAGATACGACTGGCAGCCAAACAGCCACTAAGGATCCAAGAGAAACAGATTACCCTAGATAACGGAGGAGGATGACGGTGAGCCGGGTGAGAAGATAGGTCTCCGCGGCAGCGTGACCAACTTCCCGGCTGAAAGAACGGCGTCGAGTGGGTGCTACGGAGAGGTAGGCGATTTGGGATTCGCTCACCGTCCTCCGCCTTCGGCTAGCAAAAGGCGGTCTCCTGAGCAAGGGAACCTCGTCGCCAGTATCAGACGTCACTGGAAGAGAGATAAAGGAAGCAAGTGCCCCCTTATCTTGCGCTTCTCTATCTCCCGGCGATGGAAACGGAACAGCAAGTTCCGGTTGCATTGGAGGAAGCACGGAAGACGTCATTGGACTCTGCACGCCCTGTTTGAGAAATTGGAAGAGAGGAGCCTACTTTTGTCGTATTTCACCGCTTGTGAGAATTAGTGTTTATCCTTTGCATTTTTTTAATCGTGTATTAGTAGCTAATAAGCAGCTGCTCTAGAGTTACTTGTGCTGAAGTTATTGAGAGTAAGTTTGGTTGGTTGGTCAGTTATTTCTATGTAAAAATAGTCTCAGCATAGTTGTTTTTCACTAAATGATTATTCTGCCCGTGCAATAATATTCCTAGCAATATATTCGATACTTTAGAATCAAAATTAATTTCATAACAGTTAAAAAAATAAGAAAGACATCTCACTTAAAAATGGGTATCATCATTACTAAAATAAATAAAAAAATATTAAATTAATATTTAATAATATGATAATATTATTTTTAAAATAGAGACGGCAAATGTCACGAGTCAGGTCATCCTCTAGTGATACTATCCATTCTTGATCACGCTCGGTGATGGAATCTGCTAGCATGTCCGCCCACCGGAAGAAATCACACTTTTCTGTAATTTTTTTATGGGCACATGTAGAATTGTCTCTCACAGTTATGTGTCTGATGTGACGTCAGCAGAGAATTATAAAGTCCACAGTGACACAATAAACCTCAAGACGTACCAGAAATCATCGAGCTCATCTTTCTTGAATGTTTTAAAAGATAATTCATTAGTCATAACAAAAATACAAATTTTGTTCAAAAATAATTAAGTAGACGTAAGGTCTCAGTGGACTCAGTATACAAAGCAACTAATCTGATATTACAAGAAGACAACTGGTCTTATCAAAAAAGATTTTTTGTTGATTTTTAACCCATGTGATACCAAACTCGTGTGTGTCACATATGCATATCACCAAAAAGCGCCATCTCGAAGAACCTTAAACACCATATCGATGGAAAAAAAGAGAGGAACATGGTTACCTTCAATAGAATTTCACATATGACACTAAACAATACCAACAAACAAGTCATCCAGAAGAACTCAAAAGGTATTATGTCTCATCATAGACTTCTCAAACTCATCAAAAGAAAGTAAACAAGAAAAAAAACACATACAAGCATTGAAAATAACCCAAATGATTAATATGAAATATACAATGAAAGGAAATAAGCATGAACTGTATAAAAAAATAAGTATGAATTGATAAAAAAAGTAATTAATTACAATTTTGTGTAGGTGTGAGGTCTCAGAGAGCTCAATATACCAACCGACGAATTTGTCACCACAAGAAGACATTAGACCTTTAAAAAAAGATTTTTAGTTATTTTTAACACACATAATACCAAGTTTGTGTATGTCACATATGCATATCACCAAAAAAATTTCATCCAAAAGAACTTAAAATACCACAACATCGAAAAGAATAGAGGATCTCAGTTGTCTTCATTAGGATTTCACATGTGACATTAACCAACAACGACTAAATGGCCTTCCAGAAGAACCCATAAGGTGAAACGTCTTATCATGGACCACAAAATCCCACTGAAAGAAAAAGAAAAGAAAAAAATAATTACAAATAGCGTAAAAACCAAACAATCAATATAAAATATATAAAGAACGAAAACAAACATGAACTGTATAAAATAAACAAGAATCGGTCAATTCAATATCTAGCAATGTTGTTCGTAATCTGCTCTCTCAATTTAACCATTTCTATAACACATTTGTCATCATGGGTGCAACCTTCTTATGAATCTACTTCTGACTGTGGTATAAATTGTCCTATGTGATCTTCAATTACTTCAAGCGGGACTTGTAAATGATCTCCGTCAGCCATGTTGATGTCTACATCGTTTAGAGAATGTTGTCATCGAATTTAGTTGTAGAGAGCCATTGTAGCCACTACAATCTTCAACTGCTTTGGAAATAGATACGTCGGCATATCACGCAGTATAACTCATTTGTTCTTCCACCCTACAAATGTTTTTTTTTCAATTACACCGCGTAAGGAGTATCTCTTATTAAACATTTCTTTCCTACCACAAGCAACATTATTGGATCTTTTGAAATGGAGAATGTGATCTTTGGTATCCGGAAATAACTTAAGAAACCCCATTTATAAGGGATATCCAAGGTTGGCCAAATAATATTTATTTGTCCCAAATAAAATAATTAGTAATGAACTTAAAAAATATCTTAATATGGTTAATAGCTAATCAAACCTGGATGTTGGTGAGGAAAGTTGTGCTTTTGATTTCTTGTCACAAAAGCAAATATACGACTCTCATGTACACTACCTTCCTAACTAATAATAACAAAAATAAAGCACATGTTGAAATCACATACGACCATCACATTTTGTGCAGGTGATCCACACTGCCAATGAATGAGAAATTTGAATTATTGGATACATTTGCATCCTCGTGGGTTCCATCGATCACACATATACAATTCTAACAAATAAAATAAAGTCATGTTTTTAAATCTACTCATTTTGAATTCTGAATATAAAGAGTAAAAATATTTACCTTAAAAATGACATATACTGCAGGTCATTTGCACTTTTTTACCGGAGTCCTCTCAAATGTGGGATCCTCTAGCTTGATAATCTGTGACAACAAAATAACAAAAGTCTTCAACCCTACTAAGAAGTATTTATTGATTGTCTCTGATGAATGTTGAAATTGCTCCATCACTTCTCTCATTGATTCATTATGTGATACAATTTAGAGGTTTATTGCTAACATCAATCTGGTTGTCATTCTTGTGGAACCATGAAGTCCATGATTTCTATGTCGTTCATCAAGCAAATCCATAAATATAGGTTGTGTCATACGAAAAATGTTGTCAAATCTTGTAGTGTGTCCTTCTAGTAACTCCCCAACCCATTTATCATCAATGTAAGATAATGTCTGATAGGAAATTTAATCAATGTATGAGTTATATTATTCATACAACAGACAAACTGTTGTCACAATTTTCATTCTACGCCTTTTTCTTTTTGAAATCCATGCTAAACAAGTGATATGTTTAGATAATACATGTGAATCAAACAACGTTACTAAACATCAAAAATTAAATCACTACATGTATAATAAGAAGACAAAAATACATAATAGCAAATATATTGTTCCTATGAGAAAGAAAAAACATCCAAATCAGAAATCCAAAAATAGTACAGGAAAATAAATACAAATAGTTCAATGATAACAACAAAAAAATTTTCATCATTCCTAAAAAAAACGCAATTAATTGACCTTACGATCAGGGGCCATTTTCATAAAGATTTGTCTATGGGTCGGGTCCTCCAGCAAATTCAAGGAGTTCAAATATAATGACATTTCCTCTTAAACTTTGGGAGTTGCCTCCAGAAGTTGGATAGCCTTGTTTTGGAGGTCGCATGCGACGTCTCAAGCTCACTCATGCAAGAAGCCACCAATTTTGATATTGGGCTTTATATGAAAGCAACTCCTTTCTTCTTTTACTCCACCTTAAGATGATTTGACCTGCATGTAGACTCTAGTTCATTTTGGTTTAGGCTTGGGCCTTCACCAGAGTCAGTTACATGCTCGACATCCAAGTTTTCTTGTATGCCTACAAACCCTTACTCATTAGGGATTCAAGCATGAGTCCTTGTTGCCACAACCCCACCTAACACACGGTCCATTTTTTATTCCAGATCAGGTTTAATTCCACAGAGTTTGAATTTTTTGCGACCGACACTTTTGCGATATGCGGGCAAGTTGATTACTTCATACAGTTCAGAAAGAGAAAGTAATGAAAATAAAGACTTTCATTGATAAGTTGTTACCTCCAATTTCTCAGCCCACCATTCCTTCGAAGTGTCAATCTTCCGTTTAATTGGACCCCAACTCAAGCCCACGGATTCTCATTTTAATTCCTTCTATAGTTTGGGGTCCTTTTTCAACAAACCTCATTTGTTCTTAAGTTACAACCTATCGTACTCTATTCCCATTATTTCCTTGAACTTATTCATAATATTTTGCCACCCTTCCTTGTTAAAATAGGTGGCGAGTCTATTTCCCAGTTCAACCTCCTTAAGACATAAGTCACAAAATATAAGTTTCGCTTCCTTATCCCACATAGATGATGAACTAGCTTCTTTACTCTTAACCATTGAGTTATTAGCACATATAAAACAAAACATTAATTTTTAACAATAACCATGAAAAAAAAATATGTTGAGATTTTCATACATATTTTACACTGATTTTGATGATATTACACTTTAAAGAAAGACATTTTTTATGTTTTGTTGCAGGTATGTTGAATTATGGTCATTGGAGCAAAAAGATGCAAAAAAGAGCGAATTTGGAGAAAAAAAATATGTTGAGATTTTCATACATATTTTACACTGATTTTGATGATATTACACTTTAAAGAAAGACATTTTTGATGTTTTGTTGCAGGTATGTTAAATTATGGTCATTGGAGCAAAAAGATGCAAAAAAGAGCGAATTTGGAGAAAAAATGACCAAAATATGAAGATTTGATCTTGCGCGCCGACGGCGGGTTTTTCCCGAGAGTCCAGAATTAAATATTCTAGAAGACCACTGACGGCGAGAACGGCGGTTCTCTTAATAGATGCATTGAATGTGGACGATTTTTGAATGGACGCTTAGGAAACTCTTGAAAACTATTCTACAACTTTAAGAGAAACATTTTGGAGGCCAAAAAAGGGAGTCCGGAGAGTCCAGAGTGTCCAGAGAGTGTCGAGAGGTCTTCGGATATCCAGGGGAGTGCAATTTAGGGTTAGGTATTGTGAGAAATTCTTCGAGAGATTGTAAGAGTGGAAGGAAAGTGAGAGATTTCTTCCTCATTGCCGCTTCAAAGGAGAATTTTGTGTGCTGTAAAGAAAGGAAGAGATTCAAAGGAACTTCGAGGAGTTACTTGGAGAGGAATTCGAGATAAGTTGTATTTACTTATTGTAGTTTGTATGACTTTACTTTTATATATGAAATCCAAGTTTTGTCGTATCTTCTCCATGAGTTCTGAGTAGTTTTCTCTGTCTTTCTCCTTGTCTTGAGATTTTCTGAAATGGTAATTTGAATTGGTTGAGCATTAAGAATG